GGAAACTGCTCTCCCCTCCCCCAGCCAAAGGTGCATGAACGCTGTCAGAGAGGCAGTCAGGGAGGGGGTCTAGCCTGTTTCTGGGGGGCTGTGTGGTGTGTGGGGGGGAGGATTAAAAGCAAGTGGCAGGTGCTGGTATCCCTAAAAATTCTCTTTAGTGGGTCTGGAGTTGTGTGAGGGCCCCTAGACATTTGGAGTAGATATGCCTCTGTACATATGCCTCATTCTTCTTAGAAACAAGGGAAATAACATACTTACTATCATAAAGGAAAAATTTATTATTTCTTTTATTTATACATATTAAAAATTGTTTTAATGTTTATTTATATTTGAGAGAGAGAGAGAGATAGTGCTTGAGTGGGGAGGGGCAGAGAGAGACGGAGACAGAATCTGAAGCAGGCTCTAGGCTCTGAGCTGTCAGCACAAAGCCTCACGTGGGGCTCGAATTCATGAACTGTGAGATCGTGACCTGAGCCAAGGTCACTGACTGAGCCATCCAGGCGCCCTTATATATATATATATTATATGTATATACACACACACATATATATTTTAATGTTTACTTATTTGGAGAACGGGAGAGAGTGCGGTGCGCGAATGGGGGTAGGGGCAGAGATAGAGGGAGACAGAATCCGAAGCAGACTCTGCATAGTCAGCACAGAGCCTGATGCAGGGCTCAAACTTGCAAACCCCGAAGTCATGACCTGAGCCAAAATCTGATGCTTCACTGACTAAGCCACCAAGGCACCCTGAGGGAGAGAAAATCTTAAGCAGACTCCATGCTCAGAGTGGAGCCCGATGGGGGGCTCAGTCCCACAACCCTGGGATCATGACCTGAGCCCAAATCAAGAATCAGATGCTTACCAGACTGAGTCACCCAGGCACCCCAAGTTGCTGTGCACTTTAAATGAGTGAATTAGCTGGTGTGTGAATTACATCTAAAAAAAGCTGTTAAAAACAAAAACAAAAACAAAAAAACCACAAAAAACAAAACAAAACACTTTAGGCAGTTTAATCCAGAGACAGAGACTGATGTTAGGGAGCAAGGCCCTTAAAGAGGTTGGTGATAGGCTCTTATTGGGTTTACAAGGCTCTTTTCTTTTTAATTTTTTTTTTTAACGTTTATTTATTTTTGAGACAGAGAGAGACAGAGCATGAATGGGGGAGGGTCAGAGAGAAGGAGACACAGAATCTGAAACAGGCTCCATCCAGGCTGTCAGCACAGAGCCCAGAGCCTGATGCGGGGCTCGAACTCACAGACTGCGAGATCATGACCTGAGCCAAAGTGGGCCGCTTAACTGACTGAGCCACCCAGGCGTCCCAGGCTCTTTTCTTTTTAAAATCACTTTAAGGTTTGTGTTAAGTGTACTTGATGTGAAAAATCAAGCAGCACAGAAAGGTTAAAAATGGTGACCAAAAATTACTTGGAAATGTACCTCACATATTCTTAGATCTATAACTGGGAAGTCCATAAACAAATGGATGTGGCCTCAAATGGTTATGACAGAATGGTTATTTGTAAGTAATAGAAGTTACAGTCTGTGTGTGTGGCATGAGAGGAGAGGAGGAAGCAGGTAGATGAAAATGCCCCATTTAGAGAAAGATGCTGTCCAACATGCTGGTCTCCATTCTTATAAACAGCTCTCTGGGCTTAAAGCAGCTAGAGGTACAATTTTGTATGAACAGGATGTTTTTTGTACCTGCTTTTTTCACTTAACAATTTGGCATAGGGGTGCCTGGGTGCCTCAGTTGGTTAAGCGGCCGACTTCGGCTCAAGTCACGATCTCGTGGTTTGTGGGTTCGAGCCCTGCATCGGACTCTGTGCTGACAGCTCAGAGCCTGGAGCCTGTTTCAGATTCTGTGTCTCTCTCTCTCTCTCTGACCCTCCCCCATTCATGCTCTGTCTCTCTCTGTCTCAAAAATAAATAAATGTTAAAAAAAAAAATTAAAAAAAATTAAAAAAAACAATTTGGCATAAAGAGTTGTGTCCACGTATATCTACATGGCCACTTTTAGTGGATGTGAATATTCTATTGTATACAAGTCCCCAATAGCCACCCCTAAATATTATTGTTGGAATTTTATGTATTTCCATTTCTCCCCTCTATTGAAAATGAAACTATACAAAAATTCACAGTACAAAAATCTTTGTGCAAATCACTGCCTATATCCCGAAGCTACTTTCCCAGAAACAGAATTACCAGGACAAAGGGTAGGCCTACTTGATTCATTCTGCCAAAACGCTGTCAAGAAAACTTGAGTCTTTTTCCCATCAAGAGGTCGTTTCTTGAAACATCCCTCAATCTAGGCTGATGGTATAAATCCAGATCAAGATGTACAAGGGCAACTCTTCTGGGGCCGATGTGATGTGGTCCAGGGATTCAGGTCTTTAATGCTTTCCCTGTTCAGACAGTGGTCATTCAAGAATCCCCAGAGGACAGAGGGTCCTATAGCCCCTCCTAGCGAGTTTCATAAATATGGTTGTTTCAGCTGAGCCCCTTGCTTGGCACCAGACAGGTCTGGGGAGGGGGTTTTCTTCTCAGAAGAGCCCCAGACAGCAGTGGCTCACAGTGGGCATTTTTAGAGCAGGACCTCAGGCTTTTTGCCAGCCAAAGCTGGGGGTAGGACTGATATCACCTTATGAAAGCGAGGGGCCTGGCTAGCCATGGGGCCTGGATAAAAGGCCAGGCTGCCTGTCAGGAACAAGCCTGGAGTCTGCTCCCACACATAAAGGTAAGGTTTTGAAACAGCCAGAGTGGAGTCTCCAGGCCGGGCCTAAGCCAGGAACACGGGGCCCTGTGCCCGGATGTCATCCGGAGGAGTTTCCCAGACAAGTGCAAAGCTGCTATCCTGGAGCAAGACTGCAAAAACTTAGCCTAGGAAAACACAAGCTGCTCTCCTAAACAGCTACCTCAGCCATTAAGAAAAAGAATCATATAGGGGGCGCCTGGGTGGCTCAGGTCACGATCTTGCAGTTCATGGGTTCGAGCCCTGTGTCAGGCTCTCTGCTGACAGCTCAGAGCCAGCAGTCTGCTTCCGATTCGATGTCTCCCTCTCTCTTTTTCTCTCTGCCTCTCCCGCCCTCACTCTCTCTCTCAAAAATAAATGAACATTAAAAAAGAAAAAAGAAAAATGATCATATAGAGCTCAGAAGAAGCTTCAGCTTTGAGCAATTAACATCTGATGACGATGGCAAGAAAAACCAGGCGCCTGATACAGACCAGTAGGGGAATGGGCCACTTGCAGTATGAATTTATTCACTATGAGTTGGGCAGAAGTCTACAAAGTGTGAAGGCCTCTGGACCCGTCCGTCCACAAAGTGTGAAGTCTGCCATTTAACGTCATACAACTGCAGCCCTATGTTATGTCGAGGGCTCAGTGGAAATTCGGGAGCCCAGCAAGACTACCGCTAGCTGGCGATGAGGGAGCCATAGCGCCTTCCTACTCTCTGTAATGCGATGGTGAATGTTTGGCTCACCCCCAAACAGTATCAGATAACTCAGGTATAAATGAAAAACAACAGAAGGCCACGTTCACCAGTGTTTTCTCCCTCGGGAACTGTCAGGGGGGTCTGTGAAGAGGCCACTGCTACTGATGCCGGCCCCTGTGTTGGCACTGGGGGCACGGGCTCCACGGCTGATCTGCTCGGCGTTCCCGCAGCTTAACCTAGAGTCCGAGACTTCAGGCTCCGAAGCTGAGTGAGGAAAGGTCAAGAAAAACTGCATTTTATGCTTTTCCTTCCAGGTGAGCATGTGAGCTGGGCGTGCGTATTCCTGCCGCTGGCCGGCTGGGCCAGCTGCAAGTCACGCTATAAACCAGCGACACAGAAGCTTGCGCTGCAAAGGCTCCGCATGTAACCA